GGTGATGGAAGCTTAGCGACTAGGAATTCAACCTCTAGCATCTTGGTGCATGTACACATTGGTAATACGATCTTAACGAGGGGGTATTCCGAATTGGTGTTAAAGTCAAAAAAAGAGTAGTCAGCCTGCATAAGATTCACATCGTTAAAGCCGAGTTTGAGAAACATTTTGTAGTATATTATCTCAGAGGTGCTCCCTTGGTCAACTAGGATACGTTCAACGGCAAACTTATTTACTCGCAACTCTATCATGAGGGTGTCATCATGAGGCACGGTGACCCCTTCACGATCGGCATCGGAGAAGCTAATTTCATTCAACAATCACAGTCGTTTGCTTGACATACTAGGTATAGAACTGGGTTGGAAAGATTGTTATGACTGGATTGTATTCACCTTGTTTGGCTGAGATAAGCTATATATCATGTGGATTACACCAAGTGGATGTGAATCAGGGTATACGACGAGTACATCTAGTGGGTCAACTCTTTTTGGAAAGTATTATGCTAGTCGGCCAAATTAGACCAGGTCTTCCAAATGATCCTTCAAAGCAGAGCATTTGTTGGCCGTATGCTTATGGCCTTTGTGATATTTGCATCTCAAGTCTCTCTGCCTCATGTCTAGGGACCCGGATATCTTTGTCGGCCATTTAAGGAGGCTAGATATTGGATTTTTGGTAGGCAGTTCTGCATATTTCTTATCTGACCGCCTAGAGTGTCTATTTTTTACCTGATATTCTTCGTTTTGTCGATGTAAATCTTGGCGATTCTCCCTTCTTGATCGGCCTCTTAGCTCCAGGCTTATTGAGGTTTCGTTTGGTGGTGCAATAGTCACTAGCTGCACTAGCATAGGTGCTACCAAATCCGTAGTTTGCAGTCCGGCATTAACTCGAATTGTGTTATTTTTCACTTTGCAAAATTTTTCGACCTTCTTCATCAGGGCCCAAGCTGTTATAGCGGCCTTTGAGTCTACGAACTCTTGACAAGGCTATTGGGACGCAATCCCATCTTGAAGGCAGTGATTGCCATGGAGTCGTTGTAATCATCATCCACTAAATTAAAGCACTCCCAATATCGAGCCGAGTACTCATGCAAAGTCTCATTTGGCTTGATTTCCATTGCCCACAAAGAGTCTGCTTGTTTCGATAAGATCTCATTGGTGATGAATCTAGCCTTGAAGAATTTCTAGAGTTGATAGAAACTCTCGATTGAAGCCTGCTCAAGCTTGTAATGCCATCTGACGACAAGCAGTCCCAAACTGCTAGGGAATATCCGGCACATAAGTGCCTCGTCATCTGCATGCAATGTCATTGCTTGCTCGTAATGACGAACATGATCCATGGGGTTCGATTTTCCATTATAAAGAATGAACGATGGTGCTTTAAACTTCTTAGGCAAAACGACCTTGGCAATACCTCATATGAAAGGATCATGCACGTCATATGAAAGGATCATGTTTGTCCTTTAAATCTGAATCATCGTCTCTCTTTTTACATCCGCTTCGCACTTACGGAGGACTTCCACCATCTGATGAGCTGAACACATCTACTCTGCCTCTTTTCCTGGGTTTTTTCCAAGAAGAATCTAACATACTGCTACTGTGTCTCCAAGGCTGACGTTGCCGCTTTTTCTGCTTTCCTGGCGATCGACCATGCTCAATAGGAGGTAGTAGTTGTTGGGACTTTGCTAACTCCTGATGCCGCTGCCATGTCTTCGAGACACTGTTCACTACGTTGCATCTGACTCCTTAATGTTTGCATAGCATCCTCTGTGAATGTTGAAGGTTGAAATGGGGTTAGCGAATCAAAATTCAGAGACCTCCTTACAGGGGTTCTTCGGAACCTAAAGTTACTTCTGCTGCAACATTATCAACTATGGTGATTGGAGGATTTTAGTTTGGGTTTGCTATAGATGAGTTTAAGTATTCCCACAGACAGCGCTAATTGTAAGGAAATGGTTATAGAATTCTCCTTCAATGCAAACAAGCCCTTGTAGGATCGTCCCAACTATCACTTGAAATATAAATAAAACTCCGAACGGTGGTGCCAGAATTACCACTCTGACGAGCAAGTTAGTCTCTGTAGAAAGATTGGTGTCTTTTTTATTTCTTCAGGTTCAAGGTTCTTAGCAAATACCTACTTCTCTAGCCTCCACCCTCTTTTTATAGAGTCACCCTCCTCGATATTTACTCTATATAACTTAGCCCTCTATCATTGTTCTATTAGGGCCCATCCCCTTACTATACTTTCTTGAAAGGAACAGTTTGGTCCCACCTAATGGGATCATGTCGATTCACCCGACATACTCGGCTCTGTTGTTCGGCACAAGTACCTGTAACTCGACACCCCCTGATTCTTTCATGTCTATTCGACAATGACTTTTAGTCCAGTGGGCTTGGCTTTATTTAGCCCATCTTAGATGGGCTTGGATGCTGTGTTTGCCATTTTAAGTGTACCCTCTTTTTGGCTCTCACAATCACAATTGCTTTGAGATAGAAGATTGAAGAGCCAGGGTTTTGAAAGGGTTCAAGTGTCATAATGGTAAAGGAGGGGATAGGATTGAATGGAGGGGACAAAGTGGGATCACGATGAAAGAGGGAGGATTAGAAGAGCTAGGATTTTGAGAGGGGTTGGGGTGTTGTACTGGCAGTGTCAAGAAAGGGACTAGGGCTTGATTGAAGGATTTAGAGAAGGTTGAGGGTGGTTGTTGTGACGAGAGAGGATGATGAGAGGGAAAGGAGGGTGGAAAGGGTTACGAAAAATGTATGGGAAAAGTTGAGAATAAAAGGAAATAGTCGAGGTGGGACTAGCGATGATTAAAAAGAGTGGGGTAGAGATTGTCGATTGTTGGAAAGAATAGGAGAGGGAGGACGAGAAAAAATGAAAAGATGGATAAAGATGTTGAAGACTATAATTATTTTTTATTCCCTCCATTTTTATAATTATTTTAATCTCTGTTTTTTTTAATTTTATATTTTGCAATTTACTTTTTCTCTAATAAGGGGTTGTTTGGGATGTTCTAAATAAATGCGCTTTTTTGACTTTTTTGACTAAAAAGTTGAGGAAAAAAATATGGTTGTTTGGGTTAACTTTTTGACTTTTTATGAAAAAATGTGTATTAAAAATTGTATAAATTAGTGTGTATGAGAAGATTAGGAGTGTGAGTTGTACCGCTGTACTATCTACACAGGCTAATTGATGCTAAGAAATGGTTGGCTACTTTTTGGGCATTGCACTGGACGGTACTGTTCGGCCCGTGGGGGCCATCACGGGTCCCGTTTTGATAATCTGAACTGTTCAATGTGTAGAACTCGTCGAGTCCTATTTGCCTGTAAAAAATTACGTTAATCTGATATCGATAGCTATCTGATCAGATTAGTTTTTTTCAACCGTTAAAGATAACACCATCCATTTTTTTATATAAAACTCTACACAGGCTAATTGATGCTAAGAAATGGTTGGCTACTTTTTGGGCATTGCACTGGACGGTACTGTTCGGCCTGTGGGGGCCATCACGGGTCCCGTTTTGATAATCTGAACTGTTCAATGTGTAGAACTCGTCGAGTCCTATTTGCTTGTAAAAAATTACGTTAATCTGATATCGATAGCTATCTGATCAGATTAGTTTTTTTCAACCGTTAAAGATAACACCAACTATTTTTTTATATAAAACTGATTTGATCATGTAGTTAGCGATATCTGATCAATGTGATTTTCTATAGCCAAATAGTACTCGACGAGTTCTACACATTGAACGGTTCAGATTATCAAAACAGGACCTGTAATGGGCTCCCATGGGCCGAACAGCTGTGTGTTAAAATTGCACCCTAACTGTGCAATTTTTCTTAAAAAACGCAGCCACAAATCTGGACCGGTCAGATTTATGAGTTGTAATTTTGTGTGTAAAATTTATTTTTTAATATTTTTTTTGATGAATAGTGATAACTTTTTGACTTTTTATCTTTCTCAAGACATACCAAACCAGGCCTAACAATAACAAGAATGAATAAATAAATAAAAAATAGAAGAAGAAATTATTAGAAAATTATCTTTTAAGTACTTGTATTCCAATTAGTTCATAAGAGATTCTTATATTCCAATATGTTATATTATTTGGTCATTTGATTCACCAAATCCTAATTACCATATTTAAAGTATTTTATGGACAATTTTACTTTTACAAATATTTTTTAAACCGTTAGCAATTAGGTTTGCACTATTTTGGACAATTTACATATTAAACTTTAAAAATGCATAATTTTTGTTGTACATATAGATTTTTTAAAATTTATATTTTTGGAGCCTAATTAACAAGATCTATTAAAAAAGATCTCACATGAATATGTAATTTTATATAATAAATAAATTTGACAGTGTGAATATTTCATGATGTGAATATTCACATTATCAATGTGAAACTTCACACTAATATTATATATTATGAATATTTTTGGTAACTTGTTTGTCATAACCTAAAAAAATCAAAAAGTCAATATCCTATATAAGTTATATCATCTTCTTTAAGTCATATCACCTCTTTATCACATCACTTCAAACTCAACTCATACCCAACTCATATTTCATAAAAAGTCAAAAAATATACTTATTTAGATCATTTCAAACAATCTTTTATTGGTATAGAAGAAAATAATTTATGCTAAGTAAAATATATAAGTATGTGAAAAGAGATTTATAAATAAAAATTCGAAAAAAAAAATGATAGCAAATTTGTTATTTCATGTATGATCATATGCTGCAAAACCATGACAGATACCACTGAAGTCAAACACACCTTGCTTCCCTTGCACAGTTTCTTCACTAATATGGAATATACTTCAGCAGCCAAGAACATACTTACAAAAAAGCACTATTTAATACTTACATATATGTTATACATATATATGTATAGATTACTTAACAACAATCATTACTTATGAATTACAGAGGATCCACTTTTATACACACAAAAATAATCTATACACAGAAAATAAACAAGAAAAAAAAAAAAGAAGCAAACCAAAAAGTTCATCATCAGCATAATTGTTCTTCAGATACAGAGAGAGAGAGAGAACAAAAATGGAAGCTTGCATTACTGAATTAATGCTGGTATAACATGGCCACCCATCCATCCATCATCATCATCCATATATACAATTTAAAGATTTTTTTTTTTTTTTTTTAATTGTTACTACACCAAACAACTACAATTCTTCTTCAACTATCACTACATAACACTAGTTGAGACACTAGTTGAGAGAATGAGATATTGATGTCGTTGTTGCTACTTCTGCCCTTACAACCATCCCATAACCTGACAACATTACCGTCAAGCACCGTCAAGTCCTGATAATGATACCAACCCATCTCATCCCCCATTCTCATCTTCATCTCTTTTTCCCATTTCCATTTCCACCCATCACACAAATTCTCTGCTCCTCCACAACCCACTTCCCCAAAATCCCCATCCCCGCCCTCATCCACCTCACTGTCATCCTCGTAATACACCGTAAACTTCCCTCTCGTCACCGCCTCTGTCGTCTCCACCGCACAAACCGCCGGAGCACTCGCCACCGCCACTGACTCTGTTGAAGTTGAAGGTGGCTCGGAATTAAGCGCCGCCGTGTCAGGCGGAGGAAGCTCATCTGGGTCGGATGTTGGGCCACCGGAGGCTTTGATTCGCCAGAGACTGACAGCGGCGGTTATAACGGCGACCCAGGTCCATATCTTATTGACGGCCGTTAAGAAACCGAAGCTGAGATAATTGACGGCCAAGGCTTCAAGCGGAGAATCCAAGACATTATTCATGTTCATCTTCTTTTTCTTCTTCTTCTTCACCCACCTGCCCACAAACAAAAACTGTGTGTTTCTCTTTCTAAAACTCTGTTGTTTTTTTATCTTTCTCTCTCTCTAAAAATATATATGAAATTGTCTATTTTGGGGTGTGTGAATTGGGTATGTGGATTTGAAGGGGGATTTAAGGAGAGAAGAGAGGTGGGTGGCCATTGGATCTGATTGGCTGGAGGGGATCAAATACGAAGATGCCGAGAATCGAGACTCAGATGCCATAGTAGATCCAAATATACCCATTTGTGTGGCATATAATGTTTTGACACGTGTGAAGCCTCAGCTTACTATCCGTAGTGATTTATAGATGTGGATAGGATATATTTATATTTATCTGGTATATTCTATTGTTATAATTGGTGGAAGGTAGTAAAATATGGATTATATTGTTAGGTGTTTGAAAAATATTAAACACATATATATATTTGTGATTAGTGAAAAAATAGTATCTCTCCTTTCTTTTGATTTTTTTTCTTTCAGTAATGTTAGGTATCATGAAAAACTTTTCATGAAAATAATCATGAAAGCTTTGTGACCCTTAGATTACACTTAGAATAAAGCACCACACACTAACCAAGGTAAATCCAAGGATCATAAATCTTTCATGATCATTTTCATGAAAAAAATTTTATGATTCCTAACTTTTCTCTTTTTCTTTTATATCATTTATTGACTGGTGGACTGGATTCATTCGGTTTTGCCCTACTTTCACCGCGGTCTATTTTGATAATTTGATGAATTTATTTTTTTAAAATTTTGGTAGGGTTATACAAAACACTATTCAATTAGTTAAAATTGTCTAATTTGCACGCATGTTAGTTTGATCAGTGTTTAAAATTTATAATTTATTTTCAATATATATATATATATATATATATTTAATTTCTAATAAAATATCAAAATAAAAATCAGTGTGAGATAGATTTAAAATGTAAAATTTGTTGCAAATAGTGTTATATATAAAAAAAATATTATATAATTGGTTTGTGTTATATACATGAAAAATATATATTATGCAAAATAGTATTTATATATTATGTAAATAGTTGATAATTGTTTAATTATTCTTCAATCAACTAGCAAATTGAAACTGTCAAACTGTCCAAATCACGATTTGGTTATTTGCTAATCTACTATTCACAGCTATCACTGTATCCACTAGAGTTTGTCACTGTTGCCACCATCATCTCAACCATCATCGCCGCAGTTCTCTATGTCGTTTCTAGATCTCTACAACTCTCTCTAATTCTCCAGATATCTTCTTTCTATATCTCTATCTCTGTAATGCTTGAGAATCAACAAGACGATTTATCATCCGCTCTAATCATATCCTTGGATTGTTTAATACTATTGAACAATGACGTTGAAGCTACTAACACTTGGATCAAGAACAGTCAATGTTTAAAAAGAAATTCAGGTGAGTTGGAATTAGTTTTCATCAAAAAAACGTGTCATAAAAAATATATTTTATTACTTTCCTAAGATAAATATATGAAATTGTCGAAGCCAGTAGTCAGAGAAATTTCATTGACCTTAATCTAAACTAAAGATTTGTGAGATTTCTCTAGCCAAGGCCAATGAAATTTCTCTAACCTCGTGTAATTTTATTAGATTCTGACTTAGTAAATTTTCACTAATAAAATATTCAAACTTTAATTGACTTTCAATTTTATAACTTTTAACCATTAAATGAAAATTTTCTTATTTTGAAAGCTATGAAATTTCTTTTATATAATTATGTTAACTCAAAAAAAAAAAAAATTCACTATACTCAGCTATTAATTAAAAACATTTTGTTTTGCAAATCAAAGAAATTTCATTGATTTTAGTAGAGTGAAATTTCACTTCATCGGGGAGTCACTTGAAAAATATCGCCGACAACTGACAGTAGTCACCAATGATCGAAGGTGGTGGCCGGAAATAGTAGTGGCAGTGGCAGTATAAGGTGATGGAATAATGAAACTAAATTAAGGGTAGTTTCATTCAAAAAAAGTTAGTGTTCTTAAACTAACAAGTATATTTTAGTAATCCGTAAATTAATACAAAACATTTTCTAGGGAGTTGCATTAAAATCCCCTTAATTATAATTATATGATTTTATTATATTTATTTCGAAAAAGTGTACAGGTAGTATAATTTAAAAATAGAGCCTTCGAATTTTTAAAAATAAATGTGATTAATAGCATGGTTACAATTATTGAAGATTAATCTATTTTTTTGTATAAATAATTCACAAATTTGAGACTAAAAAATTGACGGTTCTAATTATTAAAGTGGGCCAGAATTGGACAAGTCTATTTAAAAGTTGAGTTTTAAATTATAAGTGTTTTTATTTTTATTTTTATTTTTTTGTAAAGCTAAAATTATGTTTAAGCCTTAAAAAAATAAACGTTAAATTTTCTAATCTAAAACAATATTTAATAACATATACTAAAATTTTATTATTGAATTTTATCAAACTAATGGGCATTTAGAAAGTTAATATTTGAAATTTATTAATATTTTTAATGTTTATCTTTCACTCTTTATATTGTGTTGGTAAGGTGACAAATAAAGTGGTGGTGATTTATGTGGAAATAAGATTGTATGATGTGGTAGAAATGGTGGTGTAATAATAGAACTGGTAATAATATAGTGCTATTCAATATATTTTAATATGGCTATAAAATAGGTATGTGAATTTATTATTATTATAAATTTTAAAAAAATGTTACATTTATTGAGATGATTTTTCATACCCATTGAATGATATAACGGATATTCCCCATTATAATTAATAGCGGCACATACATTATAAAAAATTAAAGTTTTAGAGAATAAAATTATTTTTTAGGGATTAAATATTTTTGTTACAAAAAGTGTTGTCATTATATTTTTAGTAACAAAAATTAGACATTAGTGATGAATTATTATCATTTTGGGACTCAATTTTGTCTCAAAAAATAAATCATTTTGAGACCAAATTATTTTGTCCCTAAAAGTTTATTTATTAGTGACATTTTCCAAATTTTATCTCTAAAAGTCTTATTTTTTACTTTTCGAGACGATATTTTAGCGACTATCATTACGACGATAAAAATTGGTTCATAAATATCTTTTGCAACAAAATTTTTACTTTTAGAGACCAAAAAATTTAATTTCTAAAACTTTTATATATTATAGTGATAACACATACCAGTTATGGCGATAGTAGTCTTAGGATGAGGACGGTGATGGGTATTAATATTAACATTTGTAATACTGGATTAACAATGAGGGTGACTCAGGTGATTGTGTGATGGTAAGGGTTGATGATGGTAGCATTTGTGGTGCATTGTTTATGTTGATTGTGTGGTGGTAAGTAAGGAGGGTTATAGGGTGATGGTAATGGTAGCATTTGTGGTGCATCTTGATAGTAATGATATATACATAATCATTTTGTTTTAATTGAAAACATAATGCATTAATTAGTGTCAACTAGTGTATCAATTATTATTAACTCCACTCATTATATAAATTATAAATACTAAAAACCTCTTAAATTATGCCACATCATCAATTGATACACTATTTAATATACTAATTAGAGCATATAACATTATTCTATATTTAAGTGTTATATAAGTGGTTCCACATTGTGTTTGTTTTGTAGGTACACATTCATTAATATGAAAATTTGTTTGTAAATTTAATAAGGTAGCATTGTTGTTTGGGGACAGAGCTTGTTAAGGTGCTTTCAAAATTCATAATTTATGATGATTATATATTTTTATTTCAATTATTTTATACTTTGGCACTTATGTTGTGTTTAGTTAAGGGATTTGGGGAAGGATTTGGAAAGAGAAAGGGAAAAGGTGTGTGAAACCATGTGAAATGTAGGTATATTTTTTTCACATTTCACCTACCTTTCCATTTCCCTTTCCAAATCCCTCCTCAAATCCCTCAACCAAACACAGAATTAGTAATTTAATAAGTGTAAACCCGAATGTTATTTTATACTTTGGCACTTATGTTGTGTTTAGTTAAGGGATTTGGGGAAGGATTTGGAAAGAGAAAGGGAAAAGGTGTGTGAAACTATGTGAAATGTAGGTATATTTTTTTCACATTTCACCTACCTTTCCATTTCCCTTTCCAAATCTCTCCTCAAATCCCTCAACCAAACACAGCATTAGTAATTTAATAAGTGTAAACCCGAATGCTTATATAAATGGATACATGAAGTTATAAATAAACTATAGTACAAAATGTGATTCATTTATGGTAAGGAAATGTGATTCATTTTGGGGGGTTAATTTCACTTTTTTTTTTTTCTATTGTTTTCTATTACATCTTTAAACTATTAATTTTATCTATTTAATCTCTTAAAGTGTTTAATTTAAACTAATGTGGGTCAGTCAAAGATAATTATCTAAATCAACTATGTTAAAACCCATTCTTATTGGCAAAAGAGTAATTTCTAAATTTGAATAGCTTAACTAGGCTTCGTTTGGGAAGAGAGGTTTGGAGCTTTTTTGGCTAAAATAGTCACAAAAATAGGATTTTTAGCCTAATAAGACAAAGCATCACATCCAACCCATAATCATTACCTTCCTTTTCTCACAAAAAAGTCAAAAAAATTAAAAAAGCTAAAAGTCCTTCCTAAACTAGACTTTTTAGCTCCAGGCTAAAATAGCCAAAAAAGTCAACCCGCTTCCCAAACGAAGCCTATATAACCAAACACTCCACTTTTCTTACTCACTATTTTCAAATGAGTGTGGAAGAAGATGGGTGTTTGGTTGTACAGTATACGTTACCTATAATTATATTAAGTCAATGAGAAATAGGTTCCCCTCTACACTTGCATTTCTCCATACTCTTTTTGTGGGTTCAAATTTGGACTCATATTGATGACTCGAACTAATTACTTTGTTGGTTCCGTAATAAAGGTCATCCTTATAAAAAAATCAATTTTATCAGATATCTATAAATATAATAACAAATCACATTTTGTTTTATAAAATAAATAGCAAATAAGATTGTAAACTGAAACCATTCATTTTGTAAAACAAGGCCTGACTTATTTCTGTATATATAGTTGTTCGATAAATCTAATTTTTTGTATGAATAACCTTTACTGTGAAGTCTATAACGTAGATGTCTTGGATCATCAAAATGAGTCCGAATTGAGGTCCACAAAAGGAGCATG